AGCTTAAGTCATTGTCTTTGCTCTTGTGTGGAGCAGATAGTTCTAAAAACTGCGCTTCTGCTGTCTTTGAAGTCGATGGAGTGTCACATGTGCTCGACGCCAAGACGCCACAAATTCTTTCTACCAGATCGCTCTTTTTCCCGCTAACTTTTTGACCAGACTGTTTCAGAATTTCCTTCAGCTCATATAAAGTTTTCTTTTGAAGTTCCTGTCGATTAATATCTCCCAATGTGAAGTGTTCGCTTGAATTTTTGCGGTCTTCTGCCATTACGAACTTGGCAACATTAGCCGATTCAGGATAAGCCTCAATTCCATGTTATCGCGCGACTGCGATAATTAGAGTCAGCCGCGATTCTAAATAACTCCCAACTGGACTATTCTTTTGTTCACAGATAACTTCTACAAATGTGGTTATATTCTAACCAATATTTTCACTTAACCTTTAGAATTGATGCTTGAAGGAGTTGAACCAAGGAGATTATTAATTTCTTCAAGTAGAAGAATTCGTCTTCGCATAGTCTTGACGCCAATTTCCTTCAAGTCAGCACGTTCACTGATGCCTCTAAGAGCTTTCCCACATATTTTCTCAGCTAAAATAAACAACAAGAATGATTTCATATTGTCTTTATAATCAGTCGCCCAAGTAAATGTTCCATTATATGTCTGAAGGAATTATTTTTTCCTTTCGATTTTTAAGTTTTCTTCCTTTGCTGGTACATGCACTAGTACTACTGCTACTGGTAATAGTAAAAAAGCAAAGATATGCAAAATTATATGTCTTAACCCTATTCGTGCCACGGGCCGATCAGATCAGCCCGCGCGTAAACACCTATTCGTGCCAGGGCTGATCTGATCAGCCTGAGGTCTGCCCAGTGATATAACGAGCAATTTGATTGGTTACTAAGGCACAGCTAACACATTAGACCAATAGGAACTGCTGTTCTATCAAATTGTTAGTCACCTTCGCTAAGCCTTCATGTTTCAAGTCAGTTGCCCAAGTTTGTGCGTTTTCATTTGCAAAGAAGAAGAAAACGTTAACATGGCGGCCATTTTGTTATGTAGTTCTTTTCCGAATGTGTTACGTGCCCTCAGAACAAAACAGGACAATAAAATCTTGGAAATGGAATCTTCAGGACCTCAACATTCATCGATAACTGATAAATTTCCTTTGGTAAGATGGTAAAGGACAAAATCTACTGTTAATCGTACCGCGTTGCGAAGCGACTTCCAAACATCCACGGATCGCAAGCGTGGCAAAAATGCTCGAACTGACAGTAAATATTTTACTTTCCTTCGTCTATTTTGGATTATGGAACAAGATTAACCATCACTCCTCAGGAATATGTCTGTTTTGGAGGACTAGGATGGAGACAGAAAGGTAGAATTCAACATCTGTTTCATGTGTGTTTGCAGGGTAGCGTGAAGTGATAGAAAATAATTCGCTTTGGCACTTGCAAAACCTTGACCACCCCCCTCAAAATCTTGGCACTAACAGGGTTTAATGTACAAACCTTTAAAAAGCTCACATTCCTCTTTAAATCCTTTTCTTTCCAGCCACTGCAGAACATCTTCCACACTCCAATCTTGAGCATGCAAACAAAAAACACACTGGTTTCAGTTTCAGAGTTTGTACCGAAGGTTATTTATCTGAATTAAGCTATGCTTGGTAGGTTTAAAACCCGCCCCGCGAAAACCACCCCCCAAATACCTGAGCCGGCCAAAAAAAAAACACACCTGTGTTATTCATAAATAATTTTTTTCATCTCAAATTACTGCTCTCCTGCACAAGGAAAACACCACAGTGTTATAACATTTATGTCTGTGTAAGTTGTACAGAATGATAACATACCTTTTAGTCCTGTTTTTTAAGATATTTTAGGGACTTTTTACAATTTTTTTTTGTATTATTCGAGTTTCGAAAAAGACGCGCGGAGGAGATGAAAATTTTAGTTATATTTTAAAGTCTGTTTTGTGAACAGTTTGTCACGGCTGACATGTATTTTAATTCGTAAAATTGTCCTTCAGGATGTCTTTTTGTAATAAAAGAAAACTTCAGGAAATAATTATTTGTCAAAATTTACTGTGCACATGGTTTATTTTTTTGTCTCGTGCGTTTGAATTAAATGCCGTAAAAAAGCCAGGTTTTTAGGGGGTAGGTGCGCGCTAAGTCCCCAGGCGTCAATGGGTTAAAAAAGGTTGACTTTGAAAATTTTATGATCACTAATGAAAGAAATGATGCCTAGCGAAAGATGTTGCCGATCAAACTTACACAGATTAGCTAAGAAGCGAGACATTTTCGTACAGCAACTCGTCGGCTTTCTTGATACTAGAATTAAATTTACAATTCCCTTCCTCAAATGATCTAGCATCAAGCAACCTTCCGAAACAAGATGGCGTCTGAAACCGTGAAAACAATATTCGCGCCATTTTTTTCTCCAGTAGATGGTTTCAACAAGACCTACACTTTATCAGTCAACTTGAAAGATACTTGGTTTCATTTTAAATGTTTGTAATTATAAGGTCGTGTAAATGATTTAATACTAAAGCACTGACCTTTGACGTCGACATTTTCCTTGCAGTCCTCGGCGCCCAATGATGCTGGTTCAATTGACGGTTCAATCTTCGATTTCTTTGAAACCGTTCCTCCTTTGGCAGAGTCTGGAAGTTTCCTTGCATTCCACTTCTTGAAAATCTTGCAGACTTCTTGATCCGTTTCACTTTCAACGGAATAGCTCGGACTTGACTGCGTAAATGGCGTGAAATCTTGGTCCAGAACTCCAACTTCTTCTTCCGAATCGACCATCTTCTCGCAGAAACACAAACTTGTGCAGCAGCCGAGCAAAGAGCACAAAATTTCGTCTGACGTGCAGTTTTGATCCCATTTCTGGCGGGAAACGACACGACTCACGCGGAGCTTTCTCATTGGTCGAAATTTCAGTATCCGCTCAGTGATACCATTGTCATTGAGCCATTTGAGACATGCACATGTTTTCAAGTACAGGATCTGATAAGAAAAGTCATGCTTTATCCATTTCAACCTGGAAAGTTTGCTGTTGTGGATCCCATGAGATCAAGAATCCCTATTCCCCAGGTCCTTGTACCAGTGTCTCCCCAAGTGGGTGAAATGGTGTCTGTTCAAGGAGGTGATGAAGAATTGTGGAGAGCTGAAGTACGAGCTGTAGACCATGGACATAAAACAATCAGGGGTTATTTCTTTGTCAAACACCATCAGTGGAATGAAAATCAGTTGTGGAAAAGGGAATCCATGGGCCATGCTATGGACACCATTCACTTTAAGAGCATTGTCAGTATACTTGATGGACAGTGGCATGGGCCTTACTGGAAGGACAATGGATATTAGACTTAATTTGAATTTGTGTATTCCTGATTATCTTTTACATTCCACTGTATGCAAATAGGGAAATGTTGTATCTCCATCATGGATCTATGAATTCCACTCCACAATTGTCAACTGAAGTAAATTTTTGCAACAAAGAATACAATTCAATGAACAATTAAATTTCTGCAAGCCAGGGAGGAATTCTGTTTTCCTGCCTTTAAAAAATTCACTTACATGTACTATAAGAAACTGAAACTCGTAGTAGTCATTTCAAACAATTTCCATCATTGAAATTTTAAAATCCAAGTTTACTTAGTTTGGAAATTTTAATTTCCATGACAACTGTGGATTTTTTTTTCCATGTTAAGTAATGTCAAACAATTTCCACCATTGGAAATTTAAAATCCAAATTAACTTAGTTTGGAAATTTTAATTTCCATGACAACTGTGGATTTATTAATTTCCATGCTTAGTAATGTCAAACAATTTCCACCATTGGAATTTTAAAATCCAAGGTAACTTAGTTTGGAAATTTAAATTTCCTTGACAACTGTGGAATTTTGAATAACCATTAAATGGAACTTCACAATTTTCCATGCAAGGATATTGACATTTTATTCTTTGGATTTTTTAGTTTCCATACATCACATGGAGATTAATTAACCTGATGTGGATTTTGTATGGATATTTGCATCCTTTGAAACTTAACCTCAAAAAACCACAAAATAACCACATTTGGTTTTTAAACAGACTGTGGAATTTTTGAAAACCATACAAAAACCAAAGTGAAGTCTCTGTGGAAATTTTGACTTTTTTCCAGTGCTCCCTGAGGGGAATCACCTTGAGCAGCTTGAAACCTGACAAGAAAACAGTACTTTATACCCTTAACGAAATGTCATGTTTTAATAGTGCTTACATGTTCGTAACAATGCAAATTTCAATGTACTGCTAAATACAATTACACAAAAAAATGTTAACCAAAATACAGTGTAATACACGATGTCTGTTCAGCTGGACTTAAACCGAATATTTACAACAATGTTGATGAGCATTTCTGATCTATTGACAGCATATCAAATGATAAACCTATCAAAATTCAATAATGCTCAAGTGGAGCACATATCACAATAATACTCAATAATACTCGTTTTCTCCTGTTTCTCTGACAAGGAATTCACTTGAAAAGGGAAAAACAAAAGACTAATATTAGTCAACTGTCTGCCATTGTCATATCTGAAGAAGGCAATAGCGGAAATAACACGATGGAAATGGATTTACATTACAATACCTGCGCCATCCGCCAAGGTCGCCATCACAAACACGAGGAGAAAGGTGGACCACTTTCTTCTGCACAGCGGTCTTCATGTTTATTCATTTAAGACAACTTAAAATTGACCTGTTTCGTTTGCAAAGTCCCCTGTTTTCCCCGCAGTGCAAGGCTTTTGGAAAACAAACCTCCCTCATTTCCCCCGCCTCCAGGGTAAGTTAATCGTTCAAATCCCCGTATAAGTGCCCATTCAACGTTGAATTTGCCAGGGGTCCCCCCCCCCAGGGGATGGCCGATGCTAGATGCATTACCTCTGAAATCCTCCGGCAGAGCAACACCTTCATCCATATTAACGCTGCTTCAGACCTTCCAACCCCCATCACATGCAAATCTGGAGGTTTTAAAAAAAAAAGCCTAGAGAAACCTGGAGATTAGGACCTCAAACCTGGAGACTTCAAAAATATGCGTCAAATAAAAAAAACGACGACAGATTATTTGTTTCAGAGTATTCCTTACCTTCTCAGTGTTCTCTGTTGTAGTCTTTCGCTGCCTTTTTTGCAGAGCTGAGAAGATTCTCATCAGGGTTGAACTTAAAACACGGTGAGGTTTCCTCTGGGTACTGCAACTTCATTGCCAGTAAATTCGATAGAGTTCCCTCCAGTTTAAGGGAGGACCGACTATCTGTTTTGTTCTTGCGAACCATGCTGAACAGCCTCTCCTCCCCTGCATTACTGTGTGGCAAAAGTACAACCAGCTCTGCCACCTTCTGAAGATGGCAAAATCTTTTTGCTGAGGATTCAGGAATTACCATTTGTGACATGTACCACCAGAGAATGTCTACTCTGTAATGGAAAATTTCCTGATCATTAACTAATCCATCAACAACTTTAGCTTCCTTCCAAGCAATCACACCAATGTCTTCATCTGTTAGAGACTGATAATCACGAAATTCATCATACATCTCATCAATGTTAACAGTGTTCAAGGCTGATTTGAACCTGGATAGAAAGTATTCTACACTCTCCCATTTTGCCTGACTACGTTTCTGAACGTTGATCCATCTTGCATGCTTCAGCAGCTCATCAGTAATAGGAAACTTGCTCAAAACATATTGGAAGGCTGCCTTGAAATATTCATGTGCTGCTGTTAAGAAACGAGTGTAGGCTGTTTGAGATATTTCCCCTTGATTAAGTAGCCTCTGTAGTGTAAACTTTGTCGTCCCTCCTAAGTGAATTTCTGCAAGGGGTATATAAATTGTTGGATCTTGCAAATTAATTTCATTAAGTGGTTTCTTCATGACCTCCACCTTGATAACACGATTTCCAAGAGTATTTGCAAGTTTTATGACAGAGTCATAAACTATGTGAATGGATGGCTCGTCTGACTGCAAAAGTTTGTTAAAATTTGTAAACAGTGGGATGGAAGCATTGTGAAAAAACAGGGAAACTTCTGTGAGTGGATTTTCAAAGGCTTTCTGTAACCTCTTGAATCTCGCATCACCAGCATCTTCACTCAAAAAGTATGACTTCAATCCAGTATACTTTTCAAGTGTGCGTTGAACGCAGCGTTCTAAAGAAAGCCACCTGGTAGAAGAATGCTTCAGTATCTTACCATACTCCTGGTTACAAAACTGCATGTACTCAAGTAGGATCCCTTTCCGTTTTGTGCTTTTATCAAACCAGTAATACTGATCAATAAGAAGCTCTTCTGCACTGATTCCTATAATCTTTGCAAATTCGTCATGAGCTCTACTTGCTGCAATGTGCGCCAAATGGCAAGGACATCCCAATACATAGGTCTCTGGATTTTTTGCTTTGAAGTGGGATGCCAAAGAATTGTGAGCACCCACCATTGAATTAGTGTTATCTACTGAAAGGCTGACAACCTGATTCCATGGTATTTCATCAGTCTCTAACTTTTCCTGGACAACACCAAAAAGAGTTTCTGCTTTTGACGCATCCCTGCCACTTGTCACACACATATGATAAAAATGAGATGTAACAGTTTTGGCTCTTTCTACATCGAAAATTCTTACGGTTGCTGGATTCATCTTTTCAACATCTGTATCACTCGACCCATCAATTCCAATACTGAATGGATGTTTCTGACAGTGCTGTACAACATATCTGTGACAATGTGGTCCCAGAGCCTTATTGATGATAGCCATAGTCTTTGTTCTTGCACATCCATACTGCTTAGCAATTTCACTGTCTGGAAATACTGCCCTAAACAATGGCCCAAGGTGATCTGAAGTTGCAAGTGGGAGGTTATGCTGGATCAGAAAATTTGTTGTTAGGACTTCTGCTCTGGTAACTGCACTTTGTATAACACTACCGCCTGAACCAAACATGCCCGCTACTGATGGCTGATTTTTCGCTGCTTTCGTCGATAACTTGTGAGATTCTGTATTACAATGATCTTTCACGTCTTTTAGACCCTGGTGGTCACAGCGTATTGTCTTGAGACAAGGCACACAATAAAAAGAATGCTTGTCGTTTCTTACTGCTTTCACGGGATATAAATTGCTCCACTCAACCTTAAATGTCGTACGATACTTAGCTGCTCCAAGGGTAGCTGGTTTCCTTTTCTTCGCGGTAGATGGCTGAGGTTCCGAAGTATCAGAGTCATTTTGAGAACTTGTTTCACTCTCGTGTGCTGGACGACGAGTAGCCATTTTGAAATTTGTGTTCGATGGTTAAGCTTTCCCAGAAACCTTAGCGCACCGATGTTTCATTAGAATGAGGCTGGCATTGGGCTCATTCTTCGGCCGTGTCTTGGTGCGCCCGCGATCCTCTGGTAGCGGTGAGTAACCTGGGCGCAACAAGACACGACTGGAGACTGAGCCTAGCATTGGCGCCATTTCCCTCGCAAATTAGTTTTGATGCCTGATTCGGCTGTTATGAGCACAGATTTTTTTGCTATTCCTTCATACCTTCCGGAATTGTTTGGCAATTTTAAAACTTTCTGATTCACCGTGAGATTAAGGGGCAAAACCGTGAGACCGTGAGTTGACATCCCAAACCGTGAGTCTCACGGTCAAACCGTGAGGGTTGGAAGGTCTGGCTGCTTTCTTCCGTATTTACACTTGTCGACATATTTGGGGGGCTAAAAGAAAAATAAAACTCTTTCCTACACTACAAAACCCGGAAAAAAGTGCAAAACACCTTCGCATCACTGACAAATGGCGTAAAACCCGGGCGCAAAATGGCGGGAGAATTTTCGTTCTCTCGCGCATGCATAAAGCCATGAACCGCTGGTCACCATGACGTCGGCTCCGGGATGGAAGATTTGTCGCGGGAAAAAATGGCGTGCAAACAATAGGCCTTATTCGTATTCCCGGACTGGTCTGGGACGAGTGTTTTGTTTCGCGCGAAAGCGAGGCTCATGCGGGGGAAAATTAAAAATACCCTTTGACATAGCTGGAAAAATACGGAGAAAGTCACTTTGGTTCGCAGTATTTGACGGCAAAATCATGGTTAAACATAACTGCTGTGCATATGGCTGCTCCAACAGCACTGAAAAACAAAAAAACCATCTGAAATATCCAGAACTCAAAGGAATAACGTTTCACACTTTTCCTATCGGCGACCGAAAGAAGACTTACGCACCCGGAATGAATGAAAACGAGAGAAGAAAAAGGTGGATAGCTGCTTGTCGTTTAAGCAGTTTAAATGTCACAAGACATACAAGAATTTGTTCAGCACACTTCGAAGGTGGTTTAGGACCCTCAAAGCTTAATCCTGTCCCAACAATTTTCAGTTTCCCGACTCATTTGCAGCCCAAAACCCGACGGAAGCGAACAGATCCAGAGGAAAGGAGACGAGGAGCTTTGAGCTGCATACAAAACAAAACCAAGACTGCACCAAGGAGACAAGCAGGTAAAACTGACAAAAACAAGGAAAACCCGGAACCATTGGGCCTGTCATCACAACTGCAGGAAACTGCGTGCTCGAGCGACATGGATTTTATTTTTTCTGGAGAGTGTGAGATTAAAACTGAACAGACACCTGATCCAAGATCCCTTGCAGACAAGTGTATCCAAACCGACCTTACCTGTGAAGATATCGACTGCATGGAAGCAGCCAAAGCTAAACTGGAAAATAAACCAGAACTGAAGAGAGAAATGTTTATAGACGACGTCCTAAAAAGCAACAAGTCCGTGTGTTTCTACACTGGATTGCCCTCCTATGCCTGTCTTATGATGTTGTTTCCCTTTCTGAAACCATTTGCAAATGCAATGAAATATTGGGACAACAAGAAAAAGGGACAGAGGGAAACGTATCAGGTATCTTAATATTATTACACAGCAGTCTTGTTAATATTTCCTTTCATTTGTTTTGATGAACATTATGGCATAAAATGTTTACACAGCAGTCTTGTTAATATTTCCTTTCATTTGTTTTGATGAACATTATGGCATAAAATGTTTCATGTTTGGTATAAATAGCAATATAGACCCTATGCAAAAATGGGTACCTTTGAATTTTTTTGTTCGTATTCAAAATAGCCTCACTAACCTCGATCGGGATAACATATTCTTTACAAATTTTGTCTCAAAAACGACGTTAGCGAGGCTTTTTTAAATATGAACAAAATGATAATATATGCATAGGGTCTATAACATGATATATTATGTTATTATGATTTCCAACTATGTGATAATTGCCTAAACATTTTGCTTCAGCAACTCAACTGCACGTTTTTACTTTTATTACAGGAAGATGAACATGTTAACAAGCCGGGACCAAAGAGGCAGATGCCATTATTTTCTGAATTTTTAATGGTTCTTATAAGACTCAGGCTTGGACTGTTACAGAGTCACCTGGCAGACATTTTTGCAATTTCACAAAGTTCAGTTTCCAAGATTTTTACAACTTGGATTAATCTTTTGTATCATGTATTTAAGGAAGTTCTTATAATATGGCCTGCAAAGGTTCAAATTCAAAAGCACATGCCTAAGAGCTTTAGTAGGTATCCTCGGACCCGTGTAATTATTGACTGTACAGAGTTTTTTATAGAGAAGTCCACTCAACCTTCAGCTCAGAAAATTACTTGGAGTGATTACAAGTCACATAACACTTTCAAACTCTTGGTTGGTATTTCACCCACTGGAGCCTTCACATTTGTCTCTAAACTTTGGTCTGGTGGGGTCTCTGACCGAAATATAACTCAGAAATCTGGACTGATAGACAAGCTGGAACCTCTAGATGATGTGATGGCTGATAGAGGATTCAATATTAGAGATATGGTCACAAAGAAAAAGGCCACATTAAACATTCCCCCCTTTGCAAAGGGGAAGTCCCTTTCAACAAAGGCATGTACAAAAATCAGGAGAATAGCTGCAGTTCGCATACATGTGGAAAGAGCAATCCAGCGGCTCAAGTGTTTCCGAATTTTACGTGGTGTGATACCTATCACCCTTGCTGCAGTTGCTGATCAGACTGTGTTTGTATGTGCAGCACTGTGTAACTTAATGAAGCCTCTTGTTTCAAAGTAAATGTCTAAATAATTTTCTTATGTCTGTATAAATCATATGATTTTTGATCGAACTAAAAAAAAACAATGAGCATGTAACCCCTTACAGTAGCTACTATACTAGGTATAAATGGAATAGTTATGCATTTACATAGGCTCAATGTCACGAAAGGTTCATATTTGGAAGTTGAGTTTCTACATTATATGTATATTTATTTATCTGTACTATATAACACTGTACGGTTCTGACCATATTTAACCTTTGGAAAAGCTAGTTCTGGTAAAATGACCGAGTCAAAAAATGAATCCAGCTTAACTAGCACTGGAGACCAAAACTCTTGATCAAACAACACTTTCTCAACATAAATACCACCATCCCTGCCACAAGCAACAAATATGCCCCAGGGATACGTTGTTGCAAACATTTGTTGATGTAGTTGATAAAAGTATTTATGATTTCTATTAAGGGCTATACCATTGCTTCTTTTTATACAAATATGCTGTTTCAGTAAAATATCTTCAAGGGTTTCCCCTGACTTCACCTGAAGAAATTTCATCTCAACCACACCTGGGCTAGACTCAGACTGATCATATATTATTCTATCTGGAGAGGCACCAATATGTCCATGGGTCTTGCTAATGACAAATCCACACTTTTCGACTTTTATATCAGAATGTCCATTCTGTTTCATGTATTTTATTAGTGCCTGTTCAATTTCATCCTCCTTTGCCAAGCCCTCCTTCATGGCAGCTGTTAAAGGCACTTGGTTGTAACTCAAAACTTCCTTTAAAGCTTTAGTTGGAGATGTGGTTAATTTCAAGCTTGCAATACGTTTACAATGAGAAGCGGTGATTCTTCCTGTTCTGTACTGAAACCAGTCAATGGCATCACTCTGCAGTTTTGTCTTTTTTTCCACTGCATCAATTTCATCATCTGTAAACTGAAGTTTTCTTTTTATTGCCTTGCCCCTTTCTTTAATCTCATCCAGACTGGGTGGCAAAGGTTTCATTGGTGATAAAGAATCTAATGTAAATGTAGTAACAATTGAATTTTCCTCTCTTATGTCATTTACATTTTCTGAATCAAGTTGAGGATGTTGACCATTACATGTGTCTGGGTCAGGTAACAGATGCAGTAATACAGCTGAAGGAACAGTTTCAGCAACAAGCTTTCTAAAATTCTCAGCCAAATTTACATTCGTATCATATGAAGTTCTGGGGTCATAAGTATCACACCTTGGTTTTAGTCGCTTCTTTTTCTCTTTGTTCAGTGTGGGTTTTGTAAAATCCATGGCTGATCCTTTTGTCATGCCCTCATGAGTCCTCTTCCGTTGTTTCCAAGTGCACTTTCTCCCTGTGCAAGTTATTACAACATTTTCTCTCAGTGTAGCTTCAAGGTCAATAAGCGAGGCACCAATGTGCCGGCAAGCACCATCAGCCCTGATCAAGAAATTAGGAATTAAGAAAAGTTTCAACAGATATATTGTGATGACCAGAGTCAAAGTTTTGAATACTAGATAAAAGGAAATTATTCTGAAAGCCATAGAGATCACATACACTTGGGCATAGTATAAAGATGTCTTCAACAATTTGGAAACGAAGTACAAAATTTCGCAAAGCTGCAAATTATTATTTTCATTAACACTTCAACATTGTGTCAGTTGAACAGATCAATCTGGATTTATCATTTAACACATACATAAATCAAATTCATTTTTTAAGATGGCCAAATATTAGCCGAGGCAGCAGAATACACACCCTCCTATACAAGGGCAATGCGCTGTGTAAACTGATCCATCTGACTGAATTATTATCCATCCATCGTAAGTTGGTTTCTGTCCGACTTGCGTTTTCTCTCGTTCCGTTGGCTTTACTCCAAATTTAACGTAGTGGTATCCATTGAACAAGTTCTTGTTCTTCATCAATTTTAACACATGGCCATCCCAGAACAGGCGGTAGCCTTCGAACGACTTATATGCCTTGAGAGACTCGTGGTCATAACCCTCCTTATTGATTAAGTAAGTGTACATATCACCGTATGTGAAGTTCGGAAAATCAGAAAAGTCGGAAGTCCAGTCAGAGTGTAACGTGTTAGGACAGGGGAGCGAACCTTCTTTCGTCTGCAACTTGTTGACTATCACATCCTCCGGTTTCTCCCAATCGTCTATCGGTTCCAGTGAAAGATCGCGAGCCTTCTCCACCAATTCTACTAGTTCCTCCTTTCTCTTTTGCGAAACAGTTATTCCACGGCTCTGTAAATACGATTTCAACTCAGGAACTTTCCATTTTTGAACTTCACTCTCTGCCCCTCCTACGAAAGCCATATTGAAATCACAGATTCCCCCGCATGAGCCTCGACATTGTGCACTCGCCCAAGGCCGTCCGGGAATACGAATAAGGCCTATTAGACGAAGACACTTGCCCTTCCGTTTGCTTTTGTACAGTGAACCAAGAAGCGACAAACATAAATTTAAAATCAAATGGTCATGTTCATTGTCCTTGTGAGGTGTGCACAGGCGAGCCAGTCTATCCTACAACAGCATGGAGACACCT